CCGTTCAGGGTTCAACTCTCTCAAAGCAAGACCCAAAACTGCACCATGCCCCTCGAGCAAACCACCATCCTTTGAGGAATTTCGGAAGCGAGTGGATTCGCTGCTGCAAGAGGAAGTCCGACCATTATCCGGCACTTTCAGTGCCGGGACACTGGACAGAGGTCACAGTGCGGGGTCAAGGTTCACGATGATGACGGAGCCCGAGCGACAGCGGAATGCCTCAAGGGCATCCACATGGTCTCACAGATCGAAGCAGACACTGAGTTCCCGGTCACAGCGCACACTGGCCAGCGGCAGTCACCGGCCGCCCAGCAGCAGGTTTACCCCAACAGATGACCCCTTACTCTCTGTGGAGGCCTTCATCCAGAGTGAATTGAGTGATCCCCTGTTGCCCTACCAACCGGCTGAGACCAGCAAGTGGATGCAGCGGCGGCCCAGCGCATATGCACCAACATTCTCAAGCAGACAGCACAGTCTCATTTCTGTGATGGTCAACTCTAGTAAGAAGAAAAAGCCAGACAAATCTACCAGTATTTGAAGGGATTGTTTGATGAACTACAGTGCCCATTGTCTAAAAGGGCATGGGCACGAGCTGTATTTTGACTATGGACAGGTAAAGTAATCTTGTTGCTACTTGCAACCTACAATGTAGATGTACATACTGTATGTCAGTACCCCTCACTGAGTTGGTGCGCATGTGTACCAAATCCCACTACAGCCAGAAGCCAGTAAAATGGCTCTTGACTTGGACAGGTGGACCCCAAACTGTAATTGATCAAAATGAAGCTCAGATATACATGTAGTTGTCTGCCCCTCACTTCCATACTGATTAGTATTTCAACACCCAAAGTTCCTTTTGTTAACTTGCACACGATGAAAATCCATTTTCCGCCAAATTTTTGCCCCTTTTTCTTATGTACAGTGTACCTCCAAAGTAACAAAGTTGGAAGTGAAACCAACATTGCAGAGGGGATTTTTTCAGTTTTGCCTGGTTTTCCCTGACATTTCCCTTCTTGTGAATAATTAGGAATATCATGAACGCTCTAATGAGAAAGTATCATGCAAGAAGGAAACCGTATGAGTGAGAACAGAAAGTTTTTGTTTGTGCATTTTAGTCATGCAGTTTGATGTCATTGTACGTATTAGTGTAATGCAGTAAAAGTCAACTCATACCAAAACGCACTCATATCCAGGGGGTGTGCGTGTACGTGTATGCCGTACCCCAAAACCGGACATCTCATTTTTGACTGCTGTCAGTCATGTCGGACTCAGTGTGGAAACTTGAATCTGCATGAAAAACGAACCACATTTCAGACAAATGGCTCTCGATCTTGAAGAAATGAACTGATGGATACAAACAATTCATCAGTCTTCCAGACTGATTGACCCTAGGGAAATTTGATAAAAGTGTGAAAATTGGGCACTAAGTAAGGTGAAAAACATGGAAAATGATGAAACAATGAGTCCCAATGAAAAACGATGTGAAGTTAAAAAAAACGGTTATCATGTGGCATCAAAGTTACTTGAAGGTAAACCCACCAAAATGTGAAAATGATACACAAAGTTACGTAAAAAAATAATTTTTTTTCATTGTCGTAAAGATGACATTTTTCACTTCTTGAATTATTTTCTGGAGACCTTTCTTACCAGAAGCTTTTAAATATCACCATTTGATAGATTCGTGGCAATTTATTCACACAGGTGCTGTTCAAGGGAAATGGCAGGACCAGTCCCTCACATGTATACCTGTACAGTACATGTACTTTGTGACATGATCTCAATCTTAAAAAGTGCTGATGTCTGTTTCAGTTAATGCTCTATCATTGTACTGGTGCATGAGACAACTTCACCTGTTGGTTGAATGTGGATATTTACATCCATTTTCATTCACTGAAAATTAGTGAGAAGACAAGGTTCTGTACTGTGTTAGAGGGAAATTGTCCTTCAATCAATCATGTTTTACATATTAACAGCTGTCACGTATATCGTACAGAAGGTGGATGGTCCAGTAGCAGTCTTCACTTGTAAAAGTGAATTGCCATAATAAAGACCTTGGGACAGTTTCTTACAATGAAGGTGCTGGTACTTTTAGATTTGAAAGACTGAAGATACAACTTCACAGAAGATGGCTCTGTCTAAACACTGAGGGACCATTGTCTTGCGAAGCACAATGGGAGTGTGGCCAAAATCAGACAGGGCCGAAAGTACTAATTAGTCATTCACTTGATCAACTGATGTGCAAGTTACTTGACAACAAACTTGATTTTACTTGTAAACCTTTTAGAAGGTGTGACTGAATTGCTAAAACTGATATCTCAAACCTGCTGTACAGATCTCATTGAATAACATGTACACGTACATGTGTGACCATGAGGAAGACCTGTTCACACAATAATGCCCATCTGGAGGATTGAACTACCAGTAAAGACAGATGGCTTGTTCGTTGTTTCTTATTAAACCTCAATGCAAGAATTAACATAAGAGAAAATTTTAAACATTTGATCAACTGAAGTTGCAGTTGCATTAAATTTTAGTAATTATGATGTATTGACAATATAATTATGCACTCTGCTGTAAAAGCTGGTTGCCAGCAGACATTGCATGTACCGTATGTTGTATACATGTGTAGGCAGACTGCTTCTCACTGGTTTGTGGTATCTACTGGTTCATGTACAGTACATGTATAAGCAGCTACATGTACATGCAATTACATGTAAGCAATTACCTTTTGGCAGCACCAGGAAAGCCTGGAAAGTTAACTTTGCATAAAACTTTTCATTTATATTAGTTAAGTTATATCGGAAACAGTGTATTCATGTAATATTTTTATTTCATTTCAGATTGTTAAAATGCATGAAACATGAAAGTGCACATCATTTCAATATGGTAAACATGTACATGTATGTAACGTGCAGCTGATGTTAAATTATGCAAAATCATGTGTTTATTTAATTTGCATTTATGACAAACTGTTAAATATTTGGCTATGCATCATGTTACACTATTTTAAATGTTATTTGTTTAATCTGTTTGCATGGAGAACATGAACATTTCTAAACAATGAACAACTTTGTGATGATTAAAAAGCTAGAAATTATGAAATTTATCTTAAAAGTAGTGTATGGCCTGAGTCATTCTTCATTGGGAAGTGCGATTGTAAAAGGGGTCTAACATGTATTCTTTGGTCATCACAAACTTTATATACATGTACATATTCAAAAATTAACGTTTCCTCTCAGAAAAGCCATAAACGGTACTTAAAAAGGTTGAATCCCCCCCTTCTGAAAATGGCCTCCTCCCACAAAAAGTTGGTTCGGGATCCATTTCTACCAGTATTTAGCCTTGGTGTGAACCTTCTGTGTTTGCAGAACATGTGTGTACATGTACATGTATGCTGTTGGCCCTCTACCTGTACATGTACATGTAGGCCTGAGTCCCATTGTGGCCAAAATACTCCTGACACTCAACAGTACTTCAGAGTTGTAAACAGGTCACTTAATCTGCTGGCCAGAGTTGAGTTGGGTCATTAATAATTTTTGGAACACAGTTCAATAAATTAATTAACACAAAATTAGTTCACGCTCCTGCTAATAGAATTCCATGCAGAACTGAGCTACATGTACAGGTGCAGAAGAGTGAACACCACGTGGCTCAAGGGTCCAGCACTCTACATGTCATTCACTCTATACAACTTCCACTTCATGTTATACAAATGTTTGTTGGTTGTGTCGAGCACTTGTTTAGGATATCACAGTGTTCATTCCATTATAAGTGTGGTCTGCAGTGGTAAGGATATTACTTCATACCCCTATACATGTACATTGTAGATTCCATTGGGATTCATTTTTCCTGAAACGTGGCCATAAGTGATATCGTAGTGGTCATTGTTTTTAAGTTTAGCTCGTTTGTTACTGCTCTGTCAGTCCACAAAAATTATCGAGGAAATTGGCAGCCATTTCCACTGGAAGTCAGACTTACATGTACATGTACAGTATGTGTAAGCTTACATGTATTTCTTATGGAGTCAACATTTTTTCAACACTGCTAAAAGCCTACATGTAAATCACCGAGGTGGAAAAAAAAATGTTCTTTCGAAGTTAAAAGAATATCATCTTAAAAGAAACTGTTTTTAATTTTAATTTCAACCTTTATCCTCAAGAAAATGAAATACCTACTGTACAAATGGTATACATATATTCGTCCCCATTTTCATGAAGACATGTGGACAGTAGAATTTTTCTGCCAAAAAGTACATGTAGGTCAAGTAAGATTTTTGTTTTCATGAAGAGCCTCACATCTTTATTACAATGTAACAGTTGCGCACATGAACATGTGGGCTCCTTACCTATGGAAAAATACATCGCACAGAAGGGCCAAAAAGTAGGAAAACATGGATTTTTTATTTCATGAACAGAAACACATCTTTTCTAATTGATTTGGTTAATTAACCATTTTTTTCAATTTAATTACCTGGACTTGGTTCTGGCAAAAGTTATCTCACAAAGAGCCATTTGAGGTTTTACTGCGTTTACTTGTAGCTGTTTTGAAAGAGGAGAAGCTTCTCGGGCAATTTCTCGAAAACCATTGTTTTCCCCCAAAATCTACATGTGTGGCTCTTCATGAATACAGTGATGACATGTATTGATATTTGAGAATTCAGGCATGAGTATTGCTAGAGGAGAAGTTTCGGGGTTGTCACACCCCCTGTTGGTTAGTTTTGTTGGCAAAATCATGTTCTGTCGGCAAAATAAAAAAATGTCAGGTACATGTAAGTGTTTAGCTAGGGAATCGGACTACAGTACACTCCGGTTTTGCATGATGGTCTGTCCGCAAATTTCATGTGGCACCCCCCCATTCAAAATGGTCTACCGGTAGCAATGCCCTTGAACTTACGCCTGTGAAAAATGGAAGTTGCTTAAAACGAAAAGAGAACAATAAATGCTTTAGAGATTTCTTTTTCCTCTATTCTTCACCTTCTGTTTCTTCATAATAACCTTCAGTGATCTGAACTGGTCAGTGTTTGAGCCAGACTTGCTGGCGACCTGCTCTGTTGATACTTACATCTATCTGTGGGACACCAGGGAACCTAAGAAACCATCCCTGGCATTCTCAACATTTGGTGAGTTCTTGAAAAGTCAATGTATACAAGTATTGTTATTGAACTTTTATCAATGAAGTTTCACATTCGTGAAACTTGTATTGTACAAGTACATGTCTAGATCTGCATATTCTGTGCTCCTTTCCCCTGAAGGGACTGCTGATTGCATCAGCCATATCCTACAAACCTGACAAAGAAAACTAGTTAGAAAAGAAGCAAAATTTTTGGTAAATTTATATTACAAAACAATATGCCAGTACATGACCCCCCTCATTTAACTTACATGTAGAAACAGGGCTGAAGTGTCATAAGCTTCTATGTGGAAAATGACACTTGATCCACATATATTCCTCAACTTTCAATACCCTTAACTATCAAAGTTTTTTTGCAAAGCTTTCTGTACACCAGGATTGTTTTGAAATATGAAAATAAATAGCGGGGAAGGGAATTATCAAACATCAGAATTGACAGTCACATTGTGAGGGTTTTTTATATTTAGTCACTTGATAAAATAGAACTTTTCGAATGGTGAGGGTAGAGTTTGACATTTGACAAAGGTGGTATGTGAAAGGAGTTTGAACTTTAAATCAGTCTGTTTATTTCATACCAGTGTGCAGTTTAAATTATTTTCTGACTAGAAATAGAACTACAGCTAATGGGTGACATCTGATTTGACGTCACAAGTTTGGCATTCAAATTTTCTTTTCCACTACGTATGAACTGGCCATTTGCATTCTGATTCCATGCATATCAGCCGGAGCTGCCCAAGTGAAGTGGAATAAAAGAAACAGTAACTACCTAGCCACGGTGCATGAGGGGGACATCAGACTGTGGGATAAAAGGGTATGTACCAGTAGGAAGGATTAGAAGAGAAACTAAATGATTCAAAATTGGTAACCATTATGCAAATGAGTCAATGAATATTAATCAATTTATTTTTGTAATGCATTTCTTATTTTAATTTCCAATAGACATAAAATCAACATTCAAGATGAAAGCCCGCTGTAGTTAAAAACATGAAATAAATAAGGCTAACCAGAAAACAAAACGAAAGTTTGTGGAAGAATTTATGGCATATCTCAAGGAGAAAGGCATATGCAGTCAAACAGGGCAGAGCAAATCAGGCCTTATTAAAGGTTTCAGCATTGTGAAGTTAAAAATGCCCTGAATTGGAGACTCCCTTCTCTGTATGTAAACCCATTTACTCCTAATCCCATGTTTGGAATGATATCTGGAATGATTTTCATTTAATTAGTTTCAAAATGTTACTTGAACTGGAGATGGAGCATGAGGCCACTGGTGAAGCCAGGATTTTGGAGATGTCATAAAGTAATGTTCTGCAGTGTTTGTCACAATGAGGTGGCCTCAAAATGGAACCAAAGAGAACGGAAAACAGGGCCGTGCAGTGGAGATCCAAATCATGCAAGGGGTGTGGGTTGGGGGGACCTGTAATCTAGGCAAATAAGTGTACAGTGTAAGGGGCGAAAAGGCCAGAAAACATTCCATCAGAAATGTGACAGATACATAAAACAACTTCTGAGTAACAGCAACAATAATATTCACGTTTTCTGTCCTCACATTTGTACTGTCTTTCTTTGTGTCTGTGCAGAAAAACAGCCAGGCAGTCCAGTACATCTCGGCCAGCTTGAGTAAGATCCACGGACTGGACTGGGACCCGGGCAGTGAGTTCTTCCTGGCGACGGCCAGCCAAGACTGCACAGCAAAGGTAGGGATGATGCTGCCAAAACTTTTGCTCCCAACAAGTCATATTGTCAGGTTCTTTACATGTTCATGTACACGTTTATTCACAGGCCACTGATCCGTCGTAATTTTAACCCCAACGGAGCAAAGGAGTAGAGGGGATTGGCAGAATATTTGAATATTTTGTCGTACTGTCGGAGAATCATTTTGACACCCGATGAAAAAAAGACATGTATGTACCATTCTCTTGAATTGCCCAGGAGGTCAGTTGGCACTGGGTCAGTGCAAATACATGTACATGCAGAGGTAGGCTGGCACAGATGAGGTTGGGAACTTTAAACGACCGTAACAACGAATCCCAGTGTCAGATTGATTGAAACTTCACAGATGGGTATAGGATGAATGCCTTCATATGCCTGTCTAGATTGAAAATGATGGGCCATGGAACAGCAAAGATCCTTGGGGCAACAGCCAAGATCCTGGGGTTAGAGATGAAGGGGGAAAAGGAGATTACAAGGAATTTAGAGTGAACTGTAACAAGGACACTCCTATGCTGTGTTTCATGCATTGTTTCTGCTTAATTCAAAAGTACATGTGCAGTGCCTATGGACTGGGATGACCTCTTAACCCCAGAATAAAACTCAAATTTACTTTTGACTAACAATATTGTAAAGCATAATTTGCACCTTTGATGGCATCGAATTAATGTCTCTCTTGACTTCTTTCTGTGCGATGTAGTTCTGGGATGTCCGTGAGCCTAAAAAGACCATTTTGGAACTGAGAACCAACACCCCATTGTGGAGGACACGCTACACAGTGAGTACCGAATAGCTTGAATTTAACCTAGGATCCGTGGACTTATATGGCTTGTCATTGCACTGATAACCAAAACTCTGCATGCAGTGGGTGCCACCTAAGCATATCTGGTCAGTTCTTGGAAGTGGTATTCTGCTGTATACATGTACGTCTTGTCTCTCTCAGATGCTCATGTCATATTGATTGCCACGTGTATCACCATATGGAACGTCAGAATTTTGTGATGCATATCAGCACTGCTGTATGTGCAAGATTTTGGGATGAACATGGGTGCCTGCAGAGAACATGTGTCCAGTACACTTTTTTTTACCTTTAAAGAAGAACAACTGACGGTGTTCAAAACGTTAAATCCTACATGTACATCATAAATGTACATGTAGCAGTCACCTTCTTTTGTCACATGTCTTGTGATATAGTCTATTCAATATTCTAGTATTAAGCGGTCACAGCATTATTTTGTACATGGGGGGGACGTGTGTATATGCATGCGAGGGATACCATGCAATGCTGGCTGATGTGAAGTCTAACAGTGAGTGTGACATGCAGTCCTATTGCCTTGTCACATGATCATTCTGGGCCAATGAAAAAATAGTTTTTAAGACAGGGGTATGACAAGAATTTGTTTTTCTGGACAGCCATTTGGTGACGGCGTAGTGACAGCCACTGTTCCTCAGCTGAGACGAGGGGAGAAGAGTCTACTCCTCTGGAGCCAGTCCAACCCCCTTGGGCCGATACATTCCTTCACTGGTCACACTGACGATGTGCTGGACTTCCAGTGGAAAACACAGAAGGAAGGTGAGCAGAAATCCATCCTGATTTGAGAAGAGTGCACCATATTTTTACTGTGTTGTGATGAAACCAGACATTATTTTAAAGCCCAACCGGCCATATGGTAGTTGAGACCATCACAAGTCATTCGGTCTTAAGCAACATGTACATGTAAGTCACAAACTCCTCAGATAAACCACGAGAGAAGTCATTCCTTTGTCGTTGTTCACACTGTTGTTTGTGACAGGTCTTGTGTCTAGTCTTTTGTCTGGTCTTGTGCATGGTCTTGTGATGGTCTCGACTACAACACTGGAGAGAAGTCATTCCTTTGTCGTTGTTCACCCTCTTACTTGTGACCCAACTTGTGATGGACTGTACTGCAGCACTGCCCAAAAAGACAAGAAGCGAATGCTTTCAGGGAATAACAAACCCTTGGAAGAAGCTGCCTGAAGCATTAAGGTGGTATTTGTAAACCTTGGTTTAGCGATGGAGTGCTTGGAAGTTCTTGGACTAGGTGCAGGACATCCTGAAAGGTCTCCATAGAGAGTCGTTTTGCTCGACAAAAGAAGTTTAGGAAAGGTGCAGTGCATGGCTATCTTACATGTAAATGAATGTGATCGGAGTTATGCTCTTGAAATAAATGTGTCTGCCAGTCGCACAGGTCATAGTGTAAAAGGAGAGTGACTTTTTTATCTGAAATTCACATGTTGCCAAAGTATCAGAATTACCATTCAGCAAAGCATGTCAACTGGACCACCAACAGAGGGCTCCCTTTTATAATCATCATCGATGGGGGATTGTTGTGTTTTTTGTGGACAGGCTCAAAAGATTTCCAGTTGATCACATGGTCCAGGGATCAGAGTCTGAGGATATGGCGTGTGGAGCCACATCTTCAGAAGGTAAAGTGAAATTTGACTGTATTTTGTTAGCTCGTTGTTTTGTGTTCCTTTATTCTGTATTTATTTTTTTTGCTGTGATCTGTAGTGAATTCACTCAATGAAGAGTCCAACTTATCCAGATTAGGTTTAAAGCTTTCGAATAGTCTCCGTGTCCCACATTCTGAAAACTCAAATGCTCAGTTGATAATTGTCAGTTTTGTGTTGTTTTTTTGTTTTTGTTCTATACCATGTTGTGGTTCTCTTCCCCACCCCGTTTTAACAATGATCTTGAACTGCTTTGAGGCCTGGAGTTACTCGGGCCAGTTGATTGTATACATGTAACATATAGAGAGAAATAAGTCGAGGGAGATATGTTTGAACATGCATGTATTTCCTTCCCTGGTATGGCACACACATATACATAACACCCAGCTGACCTGATGTTGACCGGTGGCTTGTCTGTCTCCGTTTCCACTACAGCAATGTGGAGTGGACATCCCCGAACCTGTCTCCCCAGATCCCCAGCAGAAGGACCCCCTGATCGGCAGCTACGAGTTCGTGACGACCCCCAAGGACATCCAGCCATCCCCTGACAATGTCGGGTCCCCGGGGGGTGCCTCCATCCCCACTCAGGTGGTTCACAGCAAAGCCCTGGAGTTGAACGGTTCAGGGGGTGACGTAGGGGGCCCGGAGACCGCCAGCTCGGCAGGCTTGGTGGCCAGCGGGAGCTACACTCAGAAGGCATCAGTCATGGAGCAAGAGTTCACTGCTGTAAAAGTCAACCTTCCAAACGTGACCATTCAGAAGGTATTTCCTTGCAATCTTGTTCCCATTTTCCCTTGTACTACATGTACCCTCGCCTTGACTCTCCAACCACAAAGATGAGATTGAGGATAAAACGCGAAACATTTAGTCACAATATTAAATGAATGTCTGATTTCATCTTGCTCAACTCAATATATGACTTGGTCCAAGAAAAACAAGACTCAAATTGTCAAGAATTGGATAACCAAATTTTTACAACTATAACAAACTGTGTATTAATTTTTGCTTGGTTGAATTGTGAGCTGTGTGCTGTCTTGGAGTGATAGCCTCCTTGTTGTTGAAGTTTAGGAAAATGCAAAGTAAAACCAGACACGTTCATCAATGTAAGAATTTAGTTTCATCATATCTAAAGTATTTCTATTGCTTCTGTCCATTTGAACAAAGTATAGTAGTATCTGTGAATAGTTAATCACCCTTAAACGGAAGTAATGAGTTGTTATTGGGAATTTATAGTTTTTTGTTAGTTCTTAATGAACTGTGCAAATGGTATCTAGTGTCTTGTTTCATCAACCGAGCCACAAAACCAAACTTCCAACTTTTGGTGTATGACTTCCCTTGTTTCCAGATGGACGTTGAAGGTCAGTTCTGCACAGTAACAGCCTTCTCACATCGCCACATCATCATCATGAAGATCATTTTCCCTCCCTCCTACCCAGAGAAAGCCACGCCCCAGCTAGTCTTTCTTCCAGCCACCACACTGGACAGTAATGTCAAGCATAAACTCTTAAAGGCAGGTTTCAGTCACCCCTGAAAACTCTGAACTGTAACTTGTTGCACATGATTATCCATAAGTTAAGGGAAGCTTTGCATAGCTGCGTGTAACAAGAGAAATTCATCTGAAGTTAGTCTTGAGGTTTTTGCAAATGATTGTACTGTAAAATGATGTATCATAAATCCTTCAGCTGGTATCACTTACAGCTAATATATTCCACGCCATTAGAAATATTGTGCACACAAGTTGTGTATTTGCCTTGGGAAAGTTTGCTCATTAAATCACCATTTGGAGTGGTTGGTTTGTCAAAAATAAGGCAATTCGCATTTTGCACATGCAAAGATATGTAGGTTTCTTATAATAAGTGCCAACATTTGGTGATGCAACCAACTACCATGGTAGTTGGTTGCATCTTGTACATGTACATGTACATGTAGTGTTTCTAAGCTGAATATGTATCCTGCTTATGCACCAAGTTAACAGTCCTTAATTTTTACTCTTCAAGGGAATGAAATAGGGACACTTGATACTAAAAAGCGTTCTATAGTGTAATTGCACAGGAGAGAATGTCAGTACTCTCAGTTTCAAAACGTAGTCAACCTGAAGCCAATGTTAAAAAAGAATCCCCAGATATTCAGACTATGTAGTAGTTACAACTTTTTCAGGAGAATTATTTAATTAATTTTTTTTTTTTTACGGCTGTCCACTTTTCCTCTTTTCCTTATCGGGGCAGATTCTGGAAGACACCTGCATCCGACAAATGGAGAACAACAAACTGTGTCTGGAAGCCTGCCTCCAGCAGCTGTCTGTCAGCATCGATGGCTTGAAGGTACCAGTCTTGACATGCGCATGCACTGATGCTGCTTCCCAATCTGTTGTCAGTCTGCGTCTTTGCCCATTGGAAATACACAGGGCTGTGCTGACAACAGACTGCCAAAGCATGACACATTGTGGACTCTGCCTAAAGATTCCGTCCACTGTAGATGTACTTTGCTGCCATGGAACTAACACCTGCAGCCGATTTCACGAAACTTTACACAATGGCATAACTCCACTTATGCCTTATTTTGTTGCGTAAGTTGCACAACAAATTAAGACTGATTTCACAAAATGCTCTGTGTAATGTCCGTGACTTATGCAACAAACTATGGTGTAACTTACGCAGTCATTTTAGGTTTAACTAGGAACAATCATGAATGGGATGGAGGGGAGGGTTATATATAAAACTAACCACCAGTTAATTTCCTGCGATACCAGTTGACTTCAGAGATTCCGTCGGAGCCACCCAAACCCGCTACACCCTCCAGCTACAAGCAGACCTCATCCTTTCTGAGTAACTATGGCAGCCAGCTGGACAGAAACATTCCCTTCCCGAGGACCTCAGGAGCAAGATTCTGTGGCGTTGGTGAGTTGAAAATGTTGACTCATCACAATGACAGTGATAAATTCTGGAATTTATCACCTTACATCTTGGTGGATTTACTTGGGTGAGAATGAGTGCACATGCTGTTGAAGTTACAAGTTCAGATCACATATTTGTCAATTTCCCATTTTTAGCCAAGAGATTATAATTAATGTAGTTAGTTGACATGGCTTCTTTCCTCTTGCTCATCCTAATTTTTTGGAAATGTCCTGTAGAAAAACCCTCACCACGAAGTACCATCACATTAGCATTACATGCATGTACCCAGTTTGGGCATTTCTTTGTCTCTGTGTAGTTAAGAAAATTCAGAGAAAGAAATTGTTTTCCTTCATTGTGAACACTTTCAACATTTTTTATTTATGGCTTGTTATCAAACCCACTCAAAGCATATAATTCTTGTTCTGCCAAGAATACAATATGGATGTCAATGTATTCAAGTATATGTGATTTAGAGAACTTTAATTTGTTTACGGAAACTTGTTGAGCCTGCGCACCATTTCCTGAGGATTTACTTTTATCTGTTTGCAAAATGTGTTCTTCCCTGGTAGATAAGCTGGTGGTGTTTCTGCGGCCAGGTAACATCAAGAAAAGCGGCAGTCATCACGGCACACCAAGGTGCGTTCTTTCTTTTGTTCTTGCAGTAACAAGGTGTTCTGTAGCACCACGAGAGATCTCTTTTCCGGAGTGGATGGATTCTGAAGGGAACCATTGTATTTGATGGTTCAGACAATTTGCTTTCACCAATGTCAGTCTTCTAACCCTTATGATGCTATGACCACCGTTCAGACTTTCCAATGATAGGCACATGTCACCCACAATTTTCATTTAAATGCTGCCTAAGTTTGATTCTAGCCGCCCAAAATATCTTCAAGCCACCCCTGACGACACAACTTGCAGCCAGCTGAGCATTAAGAAAATATGCCAAATGAGAACTGTTTTTTATTTTTTTATATTTTCTAATTCTTGTATTTATTTTGGAAATAAAGTAAAGTTTATTAATTACCTTTTCATTTATTGCAGTCCTTAAATGTAATTGTTTCCTAACTGTGACATTGATTGCCATAACCTTGGGTCATAATTTCTTTATTAGTAACAACACTTCATAATTACTCTCTAAATAACAATGTTAAACAGAGATAATTTTATCCATGTTGCAGGGCCCTGTCATCTCTGAGCACGCTCAACTTGTTAAGGCCATTGCCCATGGGCCAGGGCCCTAGCAGCCAATTGCCCGAGGCCGTGCCATCATTGCTGCGCAACTTTTACAAAGAGAGGGAAAAGGTAGTTGACCTTTTTCCTGAACATACCCATCAACTTAGATGTCTTCAAAGCAGAGAAACACGTTGTTATAGTTGACACTTCCTGAGCACAGAGTTTAGTCCTTGTCATGCTTGAATTTTCTGACAAGATTCAGCGAGATTTTGAATGCACTGTGGGAAGGTAAAGGGTCTATGAAATTCATAGATCACAGTGTGTATTATGAAATGATGAGCCAGCTAGATCATTACTGAAGTGATCTTTTTTTCTCTCCTTGTGTCTCTTCGTACTGTCATGGTGATTTTTTACGCACTGACGCGTAACAGATAAATGGGGCATTTTCCAAATCATGGCTTCATCGCAAACTTTGTCTACAACACCCTCCAACAGCCTCCTTGATTTGTATCAAGGAGGCTGCTGTTTCTCCTGAATGAAAATGTTTTCATCTCTGGGTTTACAGCATACGGATTGATGCTCATGATTAATTATGGACCTAAAATTCCAAAGTTGGAGGGGGGGAGAGTAAAAGTCTGACAAAGCTGGAGAAAGACAAAGTCAAGTTTTGGAACACCCCATAACTTAGACTGGGAATAAATTGTGAAAATAAAGAATGTTTAAAAAAGAGTAAAATAAACATTTTGTGATAATGAAATGAATGAAAATGTTATGCCTTTGTAACAGTTTCTACCTTGATGTTCGATCAATCAACCTCTTGATGGCTGTCTTTTCTAATTCCGTCTTCCACAGAAACAGCGCCGGATTGGCAAACACCGCAAGAAAACTTCGGGCTCTGATCCGACATTGACTGCCAAATCCTCGGGCACCAGCACCACGGGTACCAGCCTGGTGGTGCTGTACAGCGCCGTGGGACTGACCCCGGTCCACCAAGAGCTGGCCAAGAAATACAAGTATGTTGTAAAACCAGAAGAGCATATTTAACCCTAAATGAACCAGACCAATGGACTTTATTCACAAGTCAACCATACTGAATTAAAAGTCAGATTAACCTTTCATTTCCATTATCATACAAAGTGTTGCTGGTCTTTTTATTGGGATATCTCCTCTATTAGGTTTATAAGACATGACATTCCCCTCCTCTGTTAGGTTTATAAGACATGACATTCCCCTGATGTGCACCTTGAATGCAGAAGTAGCAGCGTCTGTTGGAAGGACTGACTTGGTGCAGGTAATAAGACTGAATATGCATGAGTAAAATTAATATTCATGAATTGACCTCCACCCTTTGACCATCAAACAGTTTGATTACGTGGGTAATGTTTTGCCCAGTGTGAATTAGTGATCAAATTTGATTTCTTTTTGTCTTGGTACATGTATGAGCTTGCCGCACTCATCAAATTTTGCATAGCTGTGAAGAGTAGGAGTGAGTGCTGAATCTGTTGAAGTTTTTTAAACCTGGACTCATTTCATGGTGCTGCTTACCGTTAAGCAGATTTTTGTTTGTAAACATAGCACAGAAATTGCTTAATGGTAAGCATATTTCACGGTGAACCATGCATGGTTGCTGTGTGCTTAGCGTATTGTATGGGCATGCATAGAGATTTCTATCACCATATCACCAAGTTAATCAAATTTTTCCTCCAAGATTAGCTTGTTTTTTGCTGGTGCTTACTGCTTACAGTCTTCATGAAATATACAGAGCCTCTGTCAGTATAAAATTTCATTCTCACTTGTGCCATGAAATTGGGCCCTGGAATGAAAGCTAAAGATTATGATGGTTGTTGGAATCTTCTGGTCAGAGGTATTCCAATATTGTCTCGATGTATAGATGTGGTCCTTGGCTGCCTTGTCCAATAGCAGTGAGCTTCAGCCCTATTCTGATCCTGACGGTGAAACGCCCTGGGCCCAACACCCGTTTGGGAGACAACTGCTGCAGACATTGTAAGATTTATCTCGTGGGATATGTGCATCACACATGAGAACCAGCACGGGTGACATGCACATTTAAAACTATGCTTCAGTCGAGGCAGTTCATACCATAAGCATATGTGAAAGCAAATTGAATTTGACATCACAAAAAATTTGCAAAATTTTGCCCGTGTTAAAATGTGTTTAAAAGTTTGCGAATTTGCAGTGTGAATGTTTGATCCAACATCCATGTGTTTGCTTTCGCGTGAAGCATGAACCAGCTTTTACAGGGATTCAGTCACGAGGGGCATGGTGATATCTCCCTTGCAAATAAAAGACAGAAAATAAACATGCAGATGACACACGGAGATTGTTAGTGTATGGAGACAAACGGAAAGACAATTCAGAGTGTCAAAGTTTGCTGAGGCAAGTTGAGTTAAAGCTGTGGTTTCTTTTGATTTTCATCTGATCATTAAAAAACTGTGCCTTTCACCACTCTGTCTTTAGCATTTAAGTTTATTAATACTAAACAGTTAGCAAACACAATCAAAAGTGACTTCCCCTTGAATAAGGTCTATTGAATACAACTATGGTTGTCGTGCCTCTTCCTGGCCAGGTTTGACCATTACAGCAGCCTACATGACGTCCAGACGTTGGCTATGCTCAGCTGTGCCTTTGGCTCCATCTCCATCCATTCCAGCCTGCCCCCTGGCAGCCAATCACATGACGTCAAAAGCGTGAGTCATTACATGCGGAGAAACTTCACAGGACGATAGAATGTCATTTACATTTTGGACAGTGCAGACTGTTTGCTGATGGATGATGTCACGTGAATATTAGACAAGAAACTACACGGAGAGTGAGAGCATCCGCAAATGTTGGCCTTTGGCTGTGTATGAAATGTCATGTACCGGTTAAGGACAATGAACTGTTTATTTCGTTGAAATCGTGGCCTGCTTGAATGCCTCTTGAATATAGGTTTCAGTGGACAGATGATTATTGAGACCATTAGAAATTAGGCCACTACAGAACGCATGCAGCTCGAGAAAAAAATTGGTTTTATCACCTTTTTGTTCAGTTTTATTTCAAGAACCTTGCGTGTAAATACACGAGCATGTTTATGTGAAATGTACAGTACTTATAGTGTGTAAAATGAAATAACTGTGTTGAAAAATGGGATTAGATCGTCAACTTTTCTCGAGGTGCGTACATTTCCTGCAGTATACCAGCCATTTCCATTAGTGGCTCATACTGGAAATGTTAATATTCAGAACAAGAGAAGAAAATGTATCCTATCACTTAAGAAAGAAAATTTGTACAGGTTTTCTTTGGTGGGACTCCAAGAGGTAAAAACTGTAAGCAAATAACTTCTTGCATAGGGCTAAACTTTTCTGGTTCCCAGACCACAAGATTAGAATTGGTTTAGAGATCTTTAGGTTCGGTAGCAACTAGCCATGATACTATGACTAAAACAAGAGGAATTTGTTTCCAAAAGTTTCCAAACCTGGGTGAGATCTTGCAAACCAGTTTTGTTGATATACATGTACTTTATTCTAGGAGATGGTTTCTACATGCCATACACATTATTGATGCAGCAGGGAACCAGCCTGTGAGAATGCATACTGTATCTTTGGGAACCTATGGTAATGCACAGTTTATCTGAAGGCTTGTCTCAGGCTCTGTAGTGTTTCCATTTGGTCCCCAGTATCTTGTGACTGACAGAACAGATCCCATCTTCACCAAGGACTGGCCCAATGAGAAGCCAACGCCGTCGATGAGCTTCTCCGAGTCCCCCGACGACTACCGCTTCGGCGAAAACAGAGACCCAGAGCAGATTGAGAAAGAGCAACACCAACACAGCACCAAGTGAGGACAACGTGAAGGAAAGAATGGGTTTTGGACAGCTGAAATCTTGGGACAGGGACAGAATCTACCTCCTTCCTTCTCTATCATAAACTTCCATGAAAACAAATTACAATGTTGTAATGTAGCTGGAATGACATCCTTGGTGTCCTTGGATATTTGGTGGGGATTTTTATGTGTGTTTAACCACTTCCTGCCGGGCGACCTGTTTTCGAGTACAAAGGCTTTATATGCAGAGCCGGGGAGCCCAGAACTGGGACAAAAGAGTTGGGCCTTATAACAACAGACCGTGCTCAGCACAAAAGACTGAGCTGCTGGGCATTACGGACATATTTTCGCTCTCAATAGTTGAGATAATCCAGCCTTGTTTTGAAGCAGTATACCACGGTTTGAGACATTTAGAGCGAGCAGATTACCAACGGGGACAAAAACTCTCCACCACCGCAGCGATGAACCACACAGCAATGCTATCTGGCCCCTATTGAAAAGAGGTCAGCAGTGCACTCTGCCGGTTTCGGGAACAAAAGAATCTTACGTAACACTGCAGAATCTGGGCTCTTTTTCCAAGGCTGCAGGCCTGGCTGAAATATTCAGGAGTCAATGAAGGTTACCTGTCCTCTTTAGAGTAGTGCCCAAAGAGTCCTTCATGTGGGTATAAACAGCCATTAAATGAAATGACGAAGTTTTGAAGAATTTTGAAAACGGAAAATCTTGAAAAGGACCCGGTATCTTGTGTTGCTCAAGAAAAATCCACCCAGCAGCAAGTGGTTAAAAGTCTACTGACTCACTTTTTACAAATGTTTTTGACAGATTATTGGAGCCTTGTCTAACAGCCCAGTTTGACGCTTTCAAGAAGAGCTATGCTGACATTCTGTACAGGTGTAAACTGCTCAACGAGCGAGCTCAGGTTCTCAACTATCTCTCTTGCCCATCTCTTGGTGACAGTGATCTTTGTGAGTAGACCCACGTATCTTGCCATAAAGCATATGTACATGTAGAAGCAGTGTTGGAGTTGAGTCCATCACAAGTCCAGTCACAAGTCCATACCACCAAGTCCATACCACCCAGTCCAGTCACAAGTCCATAGTCCCAAGTCCAGTCACAAGTCCAGTCACAAGTCCATCCAAGTTTTAATTCGAATTGTAATAGCAGCTTAAAAATTGTTTTAAATCCTTTGAGATTTATGCATAACTTGCCTCTAGTCATGCACATGTGCAAAAAGTAGCTGTTGTCGACATACAGAATTCTCTGTATGGATGTGACCTATCCCATTTTATTCGTATACGGTTGATAGACTTTAAAACGCACACCATACAGACAAATAGACAAATACACAGACTGACAGTAGACAAAGATAGAGTCCACTGAATTTTGCATGTAGGAGCATACTTCATTTTTCGTCTTGTTTTCATCAATTTGGTTTTTTTTGCACACAGCATTTTCTGATTTTGGAGTATTCTGTCAAAAATGCCACAAACGTTCCTACAAGGTCCAGTGTGAGCACTGCCAGAGTTACAGCTTCCAATGTGCCATTTGCCACACAGCCGTCAAAGGTACACCTTTAAGTCAAATAAGCCTTATTCACAAGTCGACTGTCTTGAATCAAGATCGAGATTATCCCACTGAACAATTTTCTTAAAACTCAGTACAGCGGGAATTTAGACGATGCAATTTGGGCAAATTTAAAATACAGATTTCCATTTTTGTGTATGATGAGTGGTAAAAATCCATGTCACCTTTATTGCTTATATTAAAAATATTTCTCAATGTGAGGCCATACCTGTCATCATCGCAAAATAGTCTGGCACCCTCCCATTTTGGAGTGATCAGTAAATAAAATGAATTCAGGGAAGCATGATCCATTATGGCCATCTTGTGAATAAACCCTCTGAGAACTGTAGGATCCAAGGTTTCTCCCAGATTAGTTATACATCCATCATACTTCATTGACAGGAAATTTTAATAGGAATACCACATTTAGCAGGTGTCTTGCCTTTGTATTGTCAGTCATTGATAAAATTTGGACAATAGCATGAGACATTTATCTGAATTAAAATGCAATTTTGCTTTGAGGAACAGAGGGTCTGTCAACCGTATTTTGGAAGAAGAGCAGCTTTCTTTCTAATTGTATGGCTTGTTTACATGTCCCTGTGGCCTAGACCCCACGAAAGGCGTAGGTGTCACTTGGCACTGCACAGAGAAATAACCAGAATGTTTAAATGTCCTTCATGTTAAGACATAGGGAATTTCTGTGTGTGTAGATGTCATCTGGAGGGAAGTGCTCAAAACTTCCCCGTGTCTAAGCTGACTGAAGGCAGTCAAGAGGGTGTGAGATTCTGAAAGATAACAACGTGCCACTTATTGACGCATGTGCCGCACGCAAAATGTAAATGCCCTCTTGAGTAATCCAAAATTAAACAAACAAACTTTCCATCCGACTTCCTACAGGTTCTTCAAGTTTTTGCCTGGCCTGCGGCCACGGGGGTCATACCAGCCACATGCTGGAGTGGTTCAAGACAGAAGATGTCTGCCCAACGGGCTGCGGCTGCCGCTGCCAGACCAACACCAAGCGAGCCTGTGAAGACAGTCCCTTACCCACCGATCCCGTTGTCAACAGGTGACACCTGTGACCTGATGGAAAAGAGGCCACCTAGGATGTAGTGCTGTGTCAATTATTCAAATACTGCGATTTTCGATCAGCTCCCAGTCGTCTGTCCTGAAACTCAACAAGACAGACCTCATAGTATTTTGTTTCCACTCTTGGAGGAACATGGCGTAAGCGATTATGTCAACATCCATTCGAATGGAAGGTGAAATATTCTCATTTTCAATTATTTGAACTGACTCGGCCTCAGCAAAATGGAAGGCCACCCACTTGTGGGGACTTATCACAATTATTGCCATGCCTTTGGCCCATTTTTGGTAGGCAAGAAAATAAAAATAGTCAGGATGTATGTACAGCCCATTTTCATGGTAGCAGTGTCTGACATTGTAGCAAACAAATAAAATTTGGATGATTGGTGCTAAATTGTTTTTTTTGGGGGGGGGAGTGGAGTTTTATCTGCCCACACTCAACACCCGTAATGAGGAAATCAATTTAAGAATGTTTTACATAGTCGTCTCTTTTTGTCTTTTGGACGCAGTCCTCATCTGACAGAGCTCTGAAATTCTCTGTTTTATGCCATCAAAATTGGCCAACAAAATCCAGCCATCAAATGTTAAACTCGAGTTGTTTTAGGTTGTGAGTTCTTCATTTATTATTTGAAGGGGTCATATAACTCACCATGAGTTGGCTTCCATTTCATGGATGTCCTTGTCAGTGCAGGGTTTGTGCTGAAATTTTCATTGGTTAATACTGCTCAATACAAGCACTTCTAATTTTCGGAGCTTATGATTTTCCTAAGCAGTTCTGCGCTTCATATCCTTGATAAAAGTCCTCCCTCTAGCAGATTCCATTTTAGGAAAAAAGAAATAAAATTATTATAAGATATTATTCAAGAACGTGTGAAAAAGCAAGGTCATTCCAAGTCAGATCATGAAATTTCCTGGCACCTCCCACATTAAACTCATGTCTGATTCCCCCCTCCCCCGTTGTAATCAAGATGTTATTATGCCAAATGAATAAATACCTAGGCCCAGTTTCACAGAGCTACTCAACAGCACAAGTTGTACTTACTGCAGCAGACATTGCTTACTGTAAGCAGTATTTCACGACATTGCTTAGCGGGGTTGTGCTTATGCACACAGCACATAAAGATTCCCATTGTAATGTCACTAAGTCGAGTATAAAATGTTTTTTCTTCTGCCGGGTTTAGTGCTCATGGTCTCCATGAAATAAGTGGAGCCTCAGTTAGTGTAAAACCACATGTTCAGCGGCGCTGTGAAATTGGACCGGGGATGAGGTTATCAGTTCCAGACACTATCTGAAACTGCATAAAAGTCTGAAAGGTGTATTTCTCCCTATACAGATAATGATATCAGATTCAAAATGACTGAATTTAAACAAATGTTTGAACAATCTCATGCCTGTTGCACTCAGATTTCAGATTTTATTCCACCAAAATTTTCCCTGTCTAGATTTGGGTAAATTGCCCCTTTTGGGGATATGTTAAATAGGCATAAATCTGAAGTAACCATTCTGCCCTCAAAGCCTTATTTGCACTTAACACTAAGACTTGGACATATGGAAGGTTGCTGGAATCTACCCAAAATAACCCACACGATTTTGATACTAAAGACAATAAGTTTTACAAGGTAAGGACAATTTGGATTTGTGTGACCGGCTCTGCGGTCAGGACAGTTTGCATTTGTGTGACCGGCTCTGCGGTCAGGACAATTTGCATTTGTGTGACCGGCTCTGCATAAATGTGTATTATGTCACCTTGTTTTGGAATTCGAGTTATATATATAACTACATGTATATTGCTCACATCCCAAGTTTTCATTTGACATATAAATCATTCCAGTAGCATTTTACGTTTTGGAATTATTTGCCATTTGCATATTCATATAATTTCATTTTATCACACATGCTTTTTGAGATACATGTAATACCCTTAAAATATAACGAACAGAAATAGTTAACTTAACTGAGACACTCTCTTGGTTTTCCTAAGCAACAGAGGCTTTGTTGTCAGCAATTTGCCTCAAAATATTTTTGAATTGCGCAACTTAAAACATCTCTTGCAGAGCAGGTCACATTTGTGTTTACATGTGTCTGAAAGAGTGCTTTCTTTTTTGTGGAAACCAAATTTGAACTCATTTAAATTAGATGCAGCACTACTAACAATATAAAAATATATTAAAAGGACAGCGTTAGGGTTAACAAATTCAAAATTTAAAGGATGGGCTAGGTTTAACAAATTCAAAATTTAAATGCACTGTGCCTGTGTTAGAAATTTAAGAATCTCTGGAGACTTTCTTGGTATGATCCCATACTTTTTAATTTGTATAATACGATACATTCCTGGTTAAAGTTAACAATATATTTCATAATCAACACCCACACACTCCAAACACTTCAACTTTTGAAACCTTAACACATACATATCTGTTTAAACTGTACATGTACATCTGTTTGAAACCGAGTATATGATATCCACAAATATATACACTGTAAGTTCTCTGAGTTGCTTATTACAAACTGATTAACTTTATACACGTGCACTTCATTTCTTTTCAATTATCAAAAATAATTTCCAGAACATTTCCTAAAAATATTACACCTGATAAACAGTCATTAAGCCTGTGACTAAATCCTTATAGAAATCAAACACTATTAAAAATAGATACATGCATAGCTTGTAAAGGTATACTTCATTTCACAAAATGTCATGACTGTCTGATAAGCAGTAATTGCAATACCAAAGACAAATTTCTCAAGGAAATTCTTCAACAAAAATGCATTTCTATATTGTTATGTACACCCCTGCCTCTACCTTTGCTCAGCATATTTATAAATTAAATTTTTTTGTCAATGTTTCAAATATACGTACACAAAAACGATCATAGTTAGGTTGACTATCAAACATCTCGTTACAAATAAAGAATGAAATTTTTCTGGGAAGAAAGGTACAACAAACACCTGTTACAGCTACTGTATTCACAACATGATTGCAAGGTACCGGTCAGTCGGGTTATATCCTTTTAAGGCATTATATTCAAGGCATGCAACACCTTCTGACTCAGTTGTGGGTTGAAACACTGCCATCATTTCATGATACTAAGATTTGTGTTTTTTCTCAATTTCAATAATGATGCGGTATTGGGTACCGGCCGTGGGCTCAAATTCTGTGATTTGAGTAAAATGAGTTTAGAAATACCCGTTTCCACTTTGTTGAAAGCCTCATTATGGTATGTATGAATAAACATTATGGCACAATGCTTGAATGTTGCACATCTAACCTCGAGTGTTTATGACGGAAGTTTTCCTGACTTTCAAATCAACTGAAGAACAGTAAAATAATGAAGAAAATTCTAATTTGCATAATCCACTCAGTGCAGGAACAAGCGAAAGTGCACTTTTGCACACTCATGACTTCCTTTTTGTGGAATAACACCCCATGTATGACCAACTTCTGTTGGAATGTACACCCCTCACTTGACAACCACTAAATAAAATTTCTCGTCTTGTAATATCTAAAACTTCCAAATTCCCCCACCCCATGAAGCTTAAAATGGCCTGAAAAGTCGGGTTGTTTCTAGCGATACTGATAAATATCCAGCTTGATGCAACACAGTGCACCTAGGCCATCGGCAAAGTACAGATACAAGTCCCTGTCGTCTGCCTTCCCCTCCCCGTCTCCTCCTGGGTCTCTCAGGTAGACCGGTAGGAAACTGTGATGGCCCCCACCTATGAACGGATGGATGGCAATGATGTCGCCGGCCATGTCAAACCAGTAGAGGCTCTCTCGGTAGTAAGCACTGGTCTCGTCACTGCTGGAGATCGTAGCTGAGACGATAAAGCCCGCTGTGGATGTACAATAATCATCAGATATCACTGGACGTTGTTTATCAGAACTGATGCCTCAATTACATGAGAATTGGAAATTTGTGACCTGGCATTCCAAAACCACGCTGAAGGCTTCTTAGCTGTTATCGAGCAGGAAGTTGTGGGTTCCTATCCCACCTGAGTATGTTTGTGATTGTTTTCTGGCATCTCTCGGACCATTTTGAGAATACAGTGTGAATACGTACATCGGTGTATGAGCAAAACTCGGTATAAAGTGAACATCCCTGACGTAAAGCCAAATTAATATCATTGACCATTAACTGAAATGGGTGCCTAAAAATCACACTGAGAGTTGCAAAATCCAGGACAGCTGGTGGGCTAAGGGTTTGTCATTCCTCAAGTTTCATACATGAAAGTGGATGAAATGAGGCTAGATTTCAAACGGAAGTTTGTCCTCAGTGAACAATATTCCTACGAAATGCATGCAAGTACATAAACACTCTGTATCAGAAGCAACAGGGTTGAACGTCTGTCATTTCTGGCAAGAGGTTTGAACATTAACCTTGTTCGCCAAGATAGCATAGCTCCTTAGGCCTCCCTGGTACCATCACATCCTTCACTTCCAAGACATCTGGCTTCTGCTCCCCTTCAAGAAGTTCACCCTCACTGTGGAAGGTTGAGGAAAACAAACTACCGGTAGATTGTCACCTGCTGACCGAGTTCCCAAGCTACACCAAGTTGCCAAAATCCACATCTCTGAGGTTGTACTAGCAGCATGTGATATTATGAACATTAATTCATGTAATTGATACTCAATTCATCAAATCCGACTTGACTTTTTTTGGAGGGTAAAAACAATGACGGGATCGGTGAAATCTTCAAGTTGATTACATGCCGACAGATTTTGAGTGAATTGGGCAATTTTGCTGGGTGTGAAAACTGAAACTTGTTCCAGCACAATCTTGATAACATCTGACAACTGTTTGCACTACTTACTCCATTCTGCGTCTTCTTAGTACAAGTACATGATTGTCCATGCCATAGAAAGTTGCACTGTACTGTTCAGTCCCATCACTCCTTGCCATTATCTCAGTTGTGCTCAGCACTTTGGGGTTGTCTAGGGAAACAGACATGGCAATATATTGGGCATCTGAGTACTAATCGCATATAAACACCTCTGAGTTGGACAGTTTTCCCATTCTAATGTGCTCTTTGCATCACAGCACTATAGGCATGCAGAGCCTTGAACTGGCAGTTTGTACAATCGCATCAGAATCGGGTCAACGTAGCTTTTCCAAATACTGTCCAATGGCATGGTATAAGAACTAACGCAGTACGAGCAAAAGTACTACTCAACATACACGGGAATCACTGAACCGGCTATACTTATTGTGTAAAGCTGCCAGATGGAGGCTCTGCATGCCTACGGGGGCAGCATGCAAAGAGTAAATATCGACATGTATTGTCAAGAGCAAATGATCTTATGTGGGCGGCTGTAAGCTGGGTGATAAAGGAACAGACTGATTTCACACGCTTTCCTGCTGGCAAATGAAAAGAAAGCGCCCTTTAAACAATGGGCTAAGAATTTGTGGACAGCACTGTCCAACAAACATGAATATTGGATTTTGATGGACTTTTTTTAATGATAAGATTAATTATAAATGGGAACAGAAGTGCAACAGAGCGGTTCAAAACCAGCGTATTTAAAACTGGACGATAGTCATCAGATGGGATGGCACTGTGAATTGACTTACCTGCACTCCCAGCGGGGAGATACAAGAGAAGTCCATTGTCATTGGGTGGTGTGGAAAATCTGCTGGAGCTCAAATGAACGATCACAAGTGGCTTCAATGCTTCAATGTCCATCGCGTACACGCCCTCTAGCGTTGAGACGTAGACGGTGCCCTTGGCGACATCCAGCTTCTGTATACTGGTCAACTCGGTGGACCAGCACTCTGTCTGTTTCTCCAAGTCGCACACTGTGACCCTGGAAATCAATGGGTATGGTTCATGATCACTACAGCCCAGGGGGATGCAAAGGTTCGTCACGCTCAGTCCTGGCTCTTCAAGCAGATTCTACACATTCTTGGCAAGCATGGTCACAATTTGAGTCAGCAGACCAGACAGAAGACCATTCACAAGACCAGTCACAAGACCTGTCATAAGGCCAGTCACAAGTAACAGGGTGAACAATGAAAAGGAACGTTTTTGTTGCAGTTCATTTGAATAGTTTGTGACTTGAATTTAGACTGGAGCGCTTGTGTTGGTCTTGTGAGGATTTTTTGAAGTCATTTGATGGTTTCATGAGGTCTCGACAACAGCGCTGCCAATGAATCCAGAACCGGTTCTTACTTTGTCTTTTCCTTGTTGGTGCCGACAATTTTATACCCTTCGCAAGACAAAAAATATCTCTCCTTGCTGGAATCTTGCTCCTTTCTTTGCCCAAACTTCTTGAAGCTGAGAATGTTGCCCCGATCATCGAAAATCTGCATACTTTCAAAGACACAGGACAGGGGATAAAAATGCATGGAGTACGTTTTGGATCCATGATGATATCAATGAACGATCCTTGATTGTCAGAACACTGGAATACCAAAGTGAAAGTGTTCCACGCCTTAGGCCAAGTTCTATTTGTCAACCAGTAGGTCGATTTTTTTTCTAGTACCCAGCATTTATTTTATGCAGGGAGTTACTGTGCACAATCATCTCGTGGTTGACAAATTGGCCGTTGATCGAACTTGTCCAAGACTTGTTTTTCTCAGAGTGTCTTGCGTGTCAATTTAGTCTGGCATCGAGGTTGATTTCATGTGTGGCTTTAGTCTGGCATTGAGGTTGATTTCATGTGTGGCTTCAGTCTGGCATTGAGGTTGATTTCGTATCAGCTTTTGATCCTAACAATTCGACCTGTAGGAATCAGCTTGTATGCGCAACTGTGGTGGGTCCAAGCTAAAAGGAAATTGAATGTTATCACTCTGTTTTAACTTTGCTTTACCAGTTGATGGAGAGCATAGATCATTGTTAAAGATAATATGATCTAATATTGACCTCAAGACAAGCTCAGTAATTAACTTTGCAAATCTGCAAAAATCTTACTTAAATTAGCATTTTCAACCATGCCAAATGTAGGCATGGAGCATGAGATGACCTTCCCTTTCAAAAGTTCAGCCCTTCCTGACACCAGGACTTCATTGCTTATCTTTAACATGGCCGAAGGTGACATATGCTTCTTCCTAGACAATTTGAAAAACCTCTGGGAGGAGAGCATCATGATGTTCACTCACTCATTCACCCCTTCCAGTCATTTGGTACAGGAAAATATGGTTTAATTACTCGACCAAATAAAACGCCAAATGCTATCATCAATCTGGGAACATCTACATGTGTTTTGAATTCAAAATCTCACTCTATCCTACTTGAGGTGCGTAAGCTTGCGTTGCGGCCATGCCTTGGGATCGTCTTTGAAGGCAAAGAGTAGACTGGCCGGTGGGTTTGGAGCACTCCAGCAGGAGCAGTCACTCAACAGGAGCCAGCCGTCAGGTAGGCTTGATCGGTACCCGTAAGGACGTTTCTCTTTACTCCTGACAACAATTGGCCGGCTGAAACTCTCCGCCGAGGTGCACTCAATGAACTGTAAAAAATCAGTTATCGCCCACCTTCATAAACTTACAGATGAGGGCTGTTGGGGCACACCTCACGAAAACCATGTACTTAATAATTCTGTCTTTGCAAACTGACATGAAGGTATGTGCGCTCACTCTGCACACTGAAGTGCCATTTAAAGATGGTAGTTTTTATAAAATAACACACAAATATTTGGTGGGTACATGCGCACACTTCAGAGAAAACTGCTATAGAAGGTCTGACACATTCATTCTCTCCCTCTCTGTATACTAGAGGAATACTGTCGTGTTTGAGTAAAATCCTTTCAAATGGTTTAGATTGAGAAAAGTATTAACATACATAATAATTGTAAACAGTGTCTGAATCATATATGTACTTTACAGCAACAAAATTAATAACTTGGACTTGTTCTTCTGCGAGTGTTACAAACTGAATATCATAGACAATCCAGTAATTCTCTTGTAGCCATCATGTTGGGTCAATTCCCTGTTTTTATAGAGATTTGTTCTCACTGTAAAGACGTTTAAATGATCTGTCACCATTCAGTCACTATTTCTGTCCAGGATACCAAAACAAAAATCTACAATCTGAGATTTTGCGCGATATTATTCACTCTGGACTTGAACAAATTTAGAGTGAAGACTGCTATATACATACCACGAATACATCGTAACTTGGCATGATCAGCAGCAATACGACCGTTGCCTTGCCAACGTACAGAACCTTTTTCAAGGTGATCCGTGCCATTTGGAAGTTGTAACGGTTCCTCTTTCCCTCAACATACTTGGCAATGTCCTTACTGGTTGACGGATGATGTTGGGCCACTGGATGCGTGAAATTTTCATCACTAATTTTGTGATTCAAAAACTCCATTACCATCTTCTCAAGGAAATGACAAAAAAGACGATAAATCAGACAGGTAAGACAAGACGCCATTTTTATGCTACCACTTCAGGGCGATATTATATTTAGCCAAAAATTGGAACTTTGAAAGGAGCAAGATATTGCTGCCAACTTTTGATATACAACCACATTCCACAAATATTGCTTCCAAAGAGTCATTGAACAGTATCTGTACGGTATTTCTTACAACCTCATATTTTTCAACACTCTGGGAGGCACCTGCAGAGTGGCATTTGCTACTACAACAAACCGTGAACAGCGGCCAAGCTACGGTTTAACACATGGTCCACCTCCATGGACTCCTCATACTTTGTACATGCTTAACAAACGGGAGACTGGCATGTTTGGACATCAGCTTCAAGTGAGTTGATGCATGCTACCCGTCAGCCGTGCCTGTTCATACAGATGCCCAGAGTGTGCTTTCATGTCCTCAAGACAAAAGTGGTTATTATGAATGAACTCTTTGAAGACAAGACCAGACACAAGACCACGCACAAGGACTGTGATTAGACCAGTAGCAAGTAACAGGGTGAATGATGACAAATGACTGTTCTTGAAGAGTTGAAGACTTGGATTCCAGCTAGAGGTTTTATGATGGTCTTGAGGTCTCGATACAAAATCCATCTACTCACATGGCTGTTGAAGTGATACTGCCTCCTGATGAAGAAGTCAAGGAAGTTTTCCGCTTCCCTGAGGAGCTTCGCAGCATAACTTGACTCAATTGCATCAAGAACACTCTGAAAGAGATTACAACAAAATCACAGTAACTACGTATCTCAAAGGAGGGCGTTTAGTGGAACTGTTCAGAAATTACATCAGTAACAGAGCTGATTTGTGAAAACTTGCTCGTCCAGGGATTAACCTTTTTTTGTTCCTTCAAGACGAGATCTACAAGGTCAACTTTGACCCTGGCTGATCCTTTGCGCTGGTAGATGACAGAGATGGCCGGCCGCGACTCTGCCTGAATCCATCTCAAGTCCTCTGGCCTTTTCCTACTGGGGGCATTTCGGGAAAGCCTGTTCGCCTCACACTGGTAGTAACAGCTCACGCTGGTGATTGCAAGGGTGACGGTTGTCGATGTCAAGGGGTCAGAGTAAATGATGTTCGGTTGTGGGAGGGAACTCTGACAGTCGAAGTTAGCTGCACGAGGATGATTGTTATCTGCAACGGGTAAAATATAAAAGGCATTTACTTCCATCCACAATTTTTGAAATGCCAACATATGGTGAAATGCTGCCAGTTTTCTCCTTCTGTCCATCAGTTTTTACAGGTTTCTATGCATTAAGCCAAAGAATGCAATATAAGGATAATGAGACAGGTCTATGGAGGGTAACAGAATACTTGCACGCCCCTCCTGCCTGGCGATGTGATTGAATCATTAAGGGCAGCCTCATCAAACACAATTTATTCATATTCGTTCATTCATATTCGCACTTATTGACATACGCAAATAAAATTTACAACAGAACTGAAGCAGGAAAGAAAAAAGGAAAACATTTAGGTTAAGATGATAAGAAGTCATTTCACTACGGATGCACACTCAGGTCAGCAGATGCAACTTCTATGAAAAACAATGTCCCCGACCTGTCTTGTCACTATCAAATTCGATTCTGACTCAGCCAATCAACATCACGAGTAAGTCGAAAAGTGACTTTTCTGAGATCGGTTCTTGTGATTATGGACAATAGCTTTATTGACTCATTCCTTTATCAAGATGTATTTTTGCATTGGGGAGATGTTAATTATATATAACGGATTTGCCCTTACCCAACGTACAAAAAAATATATATAAATATACGTTGGGTAAGGGCAAACCCGTTGTATATAATTGACCCATTCCTGGTAATAATGTAAGGTTCAAGCCTTTTCTTTGTGTTCTCACTCCTTACTTTAACAATTTCCTTTCTCTTTCCCAGACCGTCTCCACCTTGAACTGATGGGAAGGCAAAAATGAACCTGTCTGGTACTAGTGGGCTCACTCAGCATTTGTTGAGCTTTCCCCAAACAACCCTGGGACAACGCATAACTCGTTTTGACGATAACCAGGATTTCATCTTTGATTTCTCTCTAGCAAACCAAGCGAGAGAGTTAACGTTTTCACTGCTGAAAAATATCAATTCTAATTCCACTGGGGATAGATATGGGATCCAAAGTAAAGATCAATAGCACTTGGTCATTTTCTATAAATTCTCCATTTCTCTTTCTGAGAGAGTAACTGTTGCATCTTCTGTTAGCCTCATCAGTCTTACCATAGTTGTCCCATCGATGCAGCTCACTGTCGCAGCAGGGGTCACCCAGGTGAACTTGTCTGGTGGAAAAAAAAGAATCGCTTCTTTAGAAACGAGTCGTTACAAACATAAAACAAAGCTCATGCTACAACCAATAGATTTCATGTCCCATTTGTCCCTCATTTAAATTACAAATATCCTGTATGATTGAGACCTCAGCCTGAGAATGCCTCTCATCTAATTGGTGGACCTTTGATCACATGCATCTCAATGAATGATTTGTTCCAGTGCAGAGCACAGCCTCGATGCCACATGTGACGTTTTGTCCCACGTCAAAAGAAGAGTTTCCAGAGTAGCCACAGTCACAAGAAATTTCGGAAAATTTGTGGGTGATGCACGGATTTATCCAGAACCAGCAAAGACAATTCGGTCACTGCGGCTTGTCTATACCCCCTCAAGACTGTGATCATGAGTGACCAGACAGTCCCTACTTCAGTCCCAAACTGGACCCTCTTCTGGTCACTCAGAGTCCCACAAGGCACATACACTGCAGGTTTCCAATGGTGACCTCAGTACCAAATCATATGCATATAATATACACCCAATTTTGCAAGTGCGCGTTTCCTTACCCAGTGTACGCATCCATGCAGACCTTTGTCATTGGTGGGAGATTCTGCATCATGGCACCGGTCAAATGACCTTTAGGGGTCACATGAAGGTCAAGGGTAAATCCCTCAATGTCAGCATTCTGCTTGCGCAATGCCCCATAAGAGAGTCTTTTAAGATAACAGGAAAGTAAAAATCATACTAGTTCAATACATGAAAACAACCAACTCTGCTTCGTGTGCTACAAGAAGGCTGATCCTAACAGAGCCAAGGGATATTATTTCATCTGAACAGCTGGCCACCTGTCCTGAGAGGACAGGCAGAAAAAATAAGGCCAGGCAGTAATTGCTTATTCAAAATGTAAAAGTCTCCTTTTTAAACACAAATCTTTTGATCTGGTGAGCAGGTCTTCCCTGTTCTTTCCTGAATACTTCGTGCAGTGGTTAAATACGGTCTCAGATAGCACAAAGGGATGTCAACATTTCAAAATTTGTCTGGGATAGTGTCTGGGATGGCAGTTTTTAACTTTGGCTGAGAAAGGACAGGCACATCCAAAATGAAACCCTGGCCGAAGGGCCTCTGTATTTTCTCTGATATCACCGCAGTGAATTTTTCTCGAACCAAGACTTCAGGTATGTTTAAGTAACACCTTGAAGTCACTTTGGCACCACTATCAAGAAAATCTGACAAGCCGTTCTTGCAGTCAGCCAAATATGCAAATTTTTTCATGGACATGCTCAGTGCCCGTGGGATGAGAGGCCATGAATTTCAACAAACCATACATCGCATTCAGAAAACTTGAACTTGAGTCGTTGAAAACTGCGCATTATAAGTACTTGTAATGAGTGTCAATTAATTAATTAATAATTTCATAAAGATTAGATGTGGGACAGCCGAGCTCTTTGGTTGGCTCGTTGAACTGGCTTACCCGTCGTATCTGTAGGTGGGTTGCTGCAGACCCCTTCGCCACACCAAGGGGAGAACGCGCAGGGGCTCAGAGACTGCTTTCCTCAGGGCTGCCTTCCGAGCTGCGATCCACTCCCCAAAGAGCCACCACGGGTGGGGTCTAATGTCGTCCTCTGTCACCACAGTGGCAATGTCGCCGGGCCCTCTGCTCCAGATATTGCTGATCAGACCAGGCATATTATGCACATTTCTGCATGCTTTCTTTGTAACAAGCTTTACACTTTAAACTTCTTGATCCTTTTAAAACAATTATAAATCTGCCATTTTCCATTGAATTAAGAAAGAACAAACACTGTTGCTATTTTTCAACACATCAACAAGAATTAAGTAGTTTAAAAAATGGCTCTCAGAAAAGTCCTTTGTTTAGATGTCCATGAAAATCTGGAAACTTCAGAAAGTGTTTTGCGAATGCAGGTATCCTTACATATAGGAGCTAGAAACCTACAGTACATGTAGAAATAGGTCTAGTCATCTTAGCTGTGCACTACTGAAAACTCCCTGACAGGATGAATCAAACATTAGCCTGGTTAAAGATTACTACTTGTCTAAGCAAAGTGGCACTTGGGTGAGAATGTAAGCGATATAAGGCTCAAAATGTTATGCATTTCATAGTTTTGATTTGGGAATATAAGGGATATGATGTTGAAAAGTTTTATGTACTCCAGAATTTTTCCATCCACTGTACTTGAGCTTGGCCGTTGTTTTGACAGTAAATATTGCTTCGGATGATGAGCATTCAAAATGAGCAGACATTAGGCTGCATTCAGAAATATAGCACAGATATTGATCAGATAGCTCTCGTTGGTCATCAGTACGTGGGTGTTTGGCTGCGCATCAGGTGTTTCCGGGCATACCTTGCTTTTTTGAAGAAGTCAAAATCGATGGCTAAAATAATGCTAGCCACAAATGGTGGAGTCAGGCGACCAAAATTACCTTGTCAAAGAAACATGGTACGCATTCTCGGCAGCTACTCCCTCGTTGAGCATGGCCAGGACAAAGGACAGATACATCCCAACAAAGGCACTGTCTGGGCCTTGAAGCTTCTCCAGATAGCCTCTGGCCCCTGTTAGCCAGACTCGATTCCTATGTGCCGAATCCCGAAAATCTTGGTTGGCTGAATCTGTATTGACAAGCAAATAAACTTGGCTCTTAAATTTCCCAGTGGTAGTGCTATTTTTCCAGTGGCATAGTTATTTTTGTTTTATATCATAAAGGGACAACCAGTTCAATTGATAGGTGTAAATGTATAGAAATATACTACAATCTAATCTCAGTTCATCTTGATTCCACATGTAGTTTAAATGTGGCTCAATGGACAACTGTCCGCTTTAGTGATGAAAATGCAAGACAGATGCAATGAAATGAGGGATTCACCGTCAATTTGCTTTATCTGCACAGAGTGATTGAGGGCACTCAGATGCACATCCATTAGTTTGGCAATTAGCACTAACAGGTAAATACAATGTAACGCTGCAATAAATGCAGTAAGATCCTGTGTGATTGTCACAGCCAGGGGAGGGTTGGGGTGAAGGCTTTGTCTGCACTCCTGGCTGTGGCTGTAATGCATATGTCAATGGCATGTATACAGCCACATCCACAAAGCTGCTGGCTTCCAAAGCCACGTCACTGCTTTGACAAAGTGACAAATCTGCCCAAAACCGAGATTTTAGGCAATCTGATATTTTTACATATTCTCATTTTTTATGTCATCCACATGGTTACCGAATTTTGACACAAAAACAGTGTCAATTGCACTAAGAACACAAAGCAATGATAGTGAACCGAGTCAGTTTTTCATTTTCTCAAATTGACAAACCTTGTGAATCTCACTGACTTTCCACATATGCTATACACATGCCTTGTGGTTTGCATTTTGACAAAGGGATGAATCTGTGTTCTTCAATGTCTTACAGTTTATAAATATGCACATGCTGTGTACTGCAATGTTACGTTCAGTGTGCACTCTAAAATTCCAAGTGACAATTTTTTTATTTTAATAAATGTCTCCTAAAATTAGATATGATCGGTGAAAACAGCGATAATATGCCGCCATTTCATAATAATGGGCTACTGCATACATAAAAAACTTTTCAGTGTTTTGACCCAAAAAATATGTGATTCCTCAATATGAAAAAATTGTTCAACTTTGAGTATGATTTTCTCGAAATAAGCCTTGAGGCTGAGTGGTGACAATATATTCATTATTAGCAACAGTTTCCCTATTACTAGCCAATGCAGACACTGCAAAACCATCCTAGTAGGCTCAGTAGCCCTTCCTTCATTACTGGCAAGGTGGCCGGCGTGGCAGTGCAGTAGGGATTCCATGGCGGCTAACACCGCCTCACGGCTGCAGTGTTCCATCACCGATTCCCCCGGTTCCTCCCACTGGAAATCCTGCATGCTCCTCGGGGGCGTCTGCTCCACGGCCTGAGCTTGCTGCGCCGTAGTCGACCACAGTCTGGCAGCCTGAATTGCTGAATGACCGGCCATCAATCTGAGAAAAATGATACCACAAGAATGAAACCTTAATCCATGCAACGATGGTGCACATGTGCACATTATGAAATGCTTAGCTAAAGCCATTTAACACTAACCCCCAAAGGGTTGCTGGCCCTAACCTTCCACATTCACACAAAGTTAAACACCCGTATGGGACTTTGTGCACAGAGGCTGTTGGTC